CCTTTCAGTTCGCAGGCCAGTACTCTATTCACTGAGCCAAACCAGCTAGGGTTGGGAGGGCATTCTTAATTAGGATAGAGTATCAACTACATTTTTTTCTTCTATTTATTTTTGTTAATCCTCACCCAAGGATATTTTTTCCATAGTCAACTACACTTTATAAAACTCTCTCCCTGTCTGCAGTTGGAATATTGGTTCTTCTGTAAACATCTACAGTAAATGGGTATGTTTTTTGACTTATGTCCAGTGTGCATATTTTTAGTGTTAGAGGCACATGTTGAATTTAGATGAAAACGCAGAAAGATCTCCTTATCTGGAGGTAGGAATACCTTAGGCAGGTCAGTCACACTGAACAAATCCAGTTATGAAATATAGTCAAAGAGGAATGCCCACCGGCCCCTGGGTTGCTGTCTAAGTTGCTCTCTGTTCCTGGGCATTGTCAGTTGCTCCTCTGCTTAGGTGAGAGCTGTAGCCAGTTCCTGTGTGTGGTTTAGGATGTCAGTTCTGCAGGTTTCTGCACTTAGATTACGTACTGACAGTTAGGTCAGGACTTCCTGCAGCACTTTGAATGAATGAAAAATAATAATGCAGTTAGAAAATTGACAAGATTATGTTTAAGACGTTAACTTGCTACAGGGCCTTGGTATTTTGGCAGCTTATGTGGCCCATGAAATTCACTGACTCCTGGCTTCTGATCAGGTGTAATCTTAGGAATTTTTTCATTATCCGTCTAACCTCGGGAATTGGCAGACGATAGGGAGGACATCTAGGAATGCACCTTTTAGAGATTATAAAAGTGTCACAGTTATTTATTTTTAGGAAAATACATATTTTACATAGCATAAAAAAGGCAGAATGGGTTTTTGGGGAGACTATTTGGGGAGTTTCTTTAACAATGAGCAAAACAGTCATTATTTATACATTGTCTATGTAGAGCCCTCAAAGAGTTCTCAGTGTCCTGAGGTAGCTAAGTATAGCCTTGCATGATAAATGTAACATAAATGTGCAAGAATAAATGTGCAGCCGTAGTATCCAACTCTCCTCCTCTTTCCCCTTGAGCCAGGGCATATAAGGTTAGCTTTCATTTGCAGTTTTAAGCACACTTCTAATTCTGATTTGTATCTTCCTAATATGTTCAGTAATGTCAGAGTTACAGCTTTAGGAAAGAATCTGTAGTGGAACAATGTATATTTTTTACAGAATAACAGCGGTATTAGTAATTAAGAACTTGACATCACATTTCAGCTGGTACCTCGGGTGGCTGGAGGTATCACACATCAATAGCATATCCTACTCATCCCCTTTAGTTCACTCCTTGTCATGGCTGGTCATGATTTTTGTGGAAGAAGCCAGCGTACTCCAGTCATTAGGTGCACTCTCTGCATTGTTTTGGCTTCTCGTATTTCCTGTTCTCCACAAGGTGCTGCGCAGTATTTTTCACTTGTGGTTTAGCATTCTGGATCTGGAACCATGTACATTAATTATATCCATTAAATCAATGAAGAAAGACACACAGAACATACAGTAAGTAGCCCATGAAGTTGGAGTGATATTATGTGTCGTTGTATTTGTTTGTGTCCAGTATCCTTGGTGGGCTATTTGGTTTCTGGGAAGCACAGGTTCACTCCCCTGCCATTGCAAAGTACCACATTATGATATGAGATTTAAATATTAGACAGTGGTGCAGTAGAGTGTTTTGTAATTGTTAGGTAATTTGAGCCAGTAGCTTTTGTAAATATTGTGGAATACATAAAATTTTTAAAAAATCATATGCATTATAATATGTATTCCTGCCCAGCTCTGGTCATTTATAGAGCGGAATAAAATAATAGCTCCTCCACAAGCATTGATTCTGTTCTGTGGAGTTCCCAGCTAGGACCAATTGTTGCAATGAGGCATTCTTTTTTGTTATAAATTAACTAGAGGCCCGGTGCACAAAAATTTGTGCACTGGCGGGTGGGGGGAGGGGTGTCCCTCAGCCCCTCTTGTCCCCTCTCGCAGTCTGGGACCCCTCGGGAGATAACGACCTGCTGGCTTAGGCCCACTTCCGGGTGGCAGAGGGCAGGCCCAATCCCTAGGTGCCTGCCCCGCAGCCCCTGGTCGGGCTCAGAGCAGGGCCGAATGGGGAGTTGGGGCACCTCCCCCTGTCATGCACAGAGCAGGGCAGATCGGGAGGTTGCGATGCCACCCCCAGTCACACTCAGGGTAGGGCCGATTGGGGGATTGTGGCTCCACCCCCTGTCACATACAGAGCCGGCCGAACAGGGGGTTGGGGCGCTGCCCCCTGTCACGCCCAGAGCAGGGCCGAGAGGGGAGT